TAATATCCACATGTGCTGAAGGAAGGTGCAGCACGGCAGAGCAGGAAGTCGGTGGGCTAATATCCACATGTGCTGAAGGAAGGTGCAGCACGGCAGCGATGGTGCCACAACACGAGAGATGCTTATTGTCTAAATGGAATACAAAATACAAATTGAGAATTAACAGTGAGAAAAAGGATACTTTGTCACAATCACAAGGATGATCCACCAAGAAGATATAACAACTATGAGCTTGGATGTACCTAGCACCATGACCTAAAACTAAGTAAAGGAAAAAAAGCAAAAACTGACAGAATTTCGAGGAGAAATAGACCAATCCACCATCAAAGAGAGATATTTTAACACATCTGTATCGGAAACTGAAACAAGGGGCTGGCCCCATGGCATAGTGGTTAAGTGCGCGCGCTCCGCCTCTGGTGGCCCAGTTTCAGATCCCGGGCGTGCACCGATGCACCACTTGTCAGGCAATGCTGTGGCGGCGTCCCATATAAAGTGGAGGAAGATGGGCATGGATGTTAGCCCAGGGCCAGTCTTCCTCAGCAAAAAAAAAAAAAAGAGGAGGATTGGCATGGATGTTAGCTCAAGGCTGATCTTGCTCACAAAAAAAAAAAAGAAAGAAACTGAAACAAGCACAAATTAGTAAAAACCGAAAATTGGAAGAGTGAGATGAATAAGGCCGATCTAATAGAGAGAATCCTACTTAAAATAGTTGAGTTATGAAAGTTGGCCTCATACCAGGTCACAAAGGAGGTCTCAGGAGATTTCCAACCCTCAGTATTGTACAAACTACATTTTTTGATCATTATACAATTAAATTTAATATTAACAGTAGAGGGGCCGGCCCGGGGGCACAAGTGGTTAAGTGCGTGGGCTCCACTGTGGCGGCCCGGGGTTCGCCAGTTCAGATCCCGGGCGCGCACCGACGCACTGCTTGGCAAGCCATGCTGTGGCGGCGTCCCATATAAAGTGGAGGAAGATGGGCACGCGTGTTAGCTTAAGAAAGCAACAGTAGAAAAGAAATTTAAGAAAGCTTGAAATTGTAAGTTCATTTCTAAGTGGCACATACATTAAACATATAAAGAGAATAGAAATTACAAAATAATCAGAAGTGAACAACAACAAGAGAATTTCATATCAAACCTTATATAATGCAGCTAAAGCAGTGCTTGGACCTAAAAGTATAGACTTAGATGTGTTTGTTGTAAAACAAGAAAGAGAACCATCAGATAAGGCTGAAGATATAGGAAGGATGGAGATAAGAGACATCAGGCCCAGGAGGTGAGGGAAAGCTGAGGAGCTGGGATGCTTGAGCTCCCTCCCTCCTCAGCCTGCAAACTTCCCTTGCCAGGAGTCAAGAGGGCTCCCAAGTCAGCTTGTTCCTGCACCCCACTTCCCCTCCCTCAATAGAAAATAATGAAGTAGAAAATGAAGAAGCAGGGCTGGCCCCGTGGCTTAGCGGTTAAGTACACGCACTCCGCTACTGGTGGCCTGGGTTCAGGTCCCGGGCGTGCACCGAGGTACCGCTTCTCCGGCCATGCTGAGGCCGCGTCCCACATACAGCAACAGGAAGGATGTGCAGCTATGACATACAACTATCTACTGAGGCTTTGGGGGGAAAAAATAAATAAATAAAATTATAAAAAAAAAAAATGAAGAAGCAATAGAGCAGATTAACACAAGCAAAACCTACTTCTTTGAAGATGGATATACCTAGTAAGACTCAACAAGGTGAAAAAGAGGACACATCATATTAGGAGCAATAAAGAAACTGTAAGTGCAGAAGGAGTATACGTTCTTTAAATCATAATGGGAAATTGACAACTTTGTGCCAATAAATTGGAAAACTTTGAAAAAAACAGATATGGAGGGCTGGCCCCATGGCTTAGCGGTTAAGTGCGCGCGCTCCGCTGCTGGCGGCCCGGGTTCGGATCCCGGGCATGCACCGACACGCCGCTTCTCCGGCCATGCTGAGGCCGCGTCCCACATACAGCAACTAGAAGGATGTGCAGCTATGACATACAACTCTCTACTGGGGCTTTGGGGCGAAAAAAAATAAATAAATAAAATCTTTAAAAAAAAAAAAAAAAGACAGATATGGACAGTTGTTTGTAGAATTACATAAATTACCAAAATCAGCTCAGGAGGATAATCCAATTGTCATTCCAAAGGGCATCAGGCCCAGGGAGTTTTACAGGCAAGCTTTACTGTACTTTCAAAGAATAATCTTATACAAAGTATTTCAGAGAATGGGAAAAGGAGGGGAGCTCATGTTACAAGGTTAGCCTGGTAATACCGATTGTTGGGGCGGAAGTGGGTGCTGTGCTGTGGTCAAGAGCACAGCGTCTAGAGCCAGACAGCCTGGCTCGAAATCCAGCCCCTTGGCGTGCCATGGGCTGCCTCCTTCCTGTTCCACCTTCCTAAGGATGTAGGGAGGGTTGACTAAGCTAACACATGCAAAGCACTTAGCACAGCCCTTGGCACAGAGGGAACGCGCTATTAGGAGCAGAACTCTCATATTCTTTTGATGGGAGTACAAACTGATAACCAACTTGGTACGCAGTTTGGTAATTCTAGAGATCTACCCTAGAGTTACCCTAGAGAAACCCACACGCCTGTGTACGAGAAAACATGTATAGGAATACTTACTGCAGCTTGCTTCTAATAGCAAAACATTAATCTGTTTACTAACAGGAGAAAAGGTTGTGAAATATTCATATATTGGCATTCTATTCAGCAATGAAAATTAATAAACTATATCTATCAAATAAATATATCTCAAAATCGTAATAGAGCAAAAACGGCAAATACACATACACTGATATGTGTATAGAGTTTTAAAACCTGCAAAATAACACAGTATAATGCTAATGGAGACTTAGATCTGTAGCAAAAGGTAAAAGTACCTGTCGGAATAATACAGTCTAAATTTGAAACTGCAGCATGGAAGGGGAGAGAGGAGGAAGTAGGATGAGAAAGGAATACAAAGGGGCACTATTTTCAAATATTTTACTTTTAAAAATCTAAAGGTGTAAAAAAGGTACATCTGAAAGTGCAAAGGGGTTACACTGGAGATTCCCTTTTCTGTATGTGTATTTGAAATATTGCACAACTAAAACGTCAACCAGTGACTTAGTGACTGATGGGGGTGGGGTTCACTTAGAGTGGGGGTCGTGCTGCGGCAGCAGTAGGTGGATCTACGGTGACTTTTTGATCTTAGAGTGTAAACTTCGAGTTCAGTAGTTTGGTGTAATTTCTAGCCTGCACTCGCACCCCAGCTTCTCGAATGGTCTCTGATGGAGCAGCCTCCCTCTTGGGTGGTGATTGAACCACTGACAAAGTGCAGAAGCTCCTGATAGCTTTCAGGGTTTTCCAGCTCTTCCGCCTTAAATATTATGTGTGCCTGTGCATGGATGATGGCCCGTCAAGCCATCATCCATGGTCTTAGATTTATATGTTGGTGACAGTTTTAGTCTTGACCTCAACAGTAATGAAAAACCCTTCAAGCATTACATGCGGATTCTTCAGTGAAGGGAAGACACTGCATTTCCCTAATGGGCCTTTATGAGATGTGCTGGAAAGTAACGCCAGGCCAAATAGGACAGGAACTAATTTAATTTTAGTTGTTAGTACTTGTTAAATTTTATTTTAATACTATAGCGCTTTGCAAATGTATTGGCCAATTTAAAGAACTCACAAGAGGGCAGCCTCTGGCCCAGAAGGCCCAATGTTGGAGATGATGTGGACGAGTCTTATTTGCTTGCTTGCTCTACTTTGCTGTCCCCTGAACGTGTCTTATGGGTTCCTGTGTTGCTGAAGGTTGGGAAAAGTGGAAACATTCCAGCAGGCACAACCGTGGACACGAAGATCACCCACCCGACCGAGTTTGACTTCTACCTGTGCAGTCATGCCGGCATCCAGGTAAGGACAGAGGGTCCCCTTTGTACAGAATCTCCGTGTCTCTGACATCATCCGCACGTTCAGGAAACACTTGCAGAGCACGAACCTCCTGCCAGGTGCTCTGCTGGGCACCAGGGAAGTGGTGGTGAGCAGCACGGATGGGCTCCAACCAGTCCCCAGGGGAGTTGGGCAGTTAACCAGTGAATAGTTAAGGCTTGAGACCGTCAGGTGTTGGGCACAAAGAACCCACTGGGGTGCCGTGGTGGGGGGGTCCCATCTTACATGAGATGTGGTCCAGGCGGAAGGAGCAGTGATTGCAAAGGCCAGCACGTTGGTGGGGAACAAGGGGCACTGCCGTGTGCCTGGAGCTTAGTGAGTTAGATGAGATCTGAGAGGTTGCTGCTCTGGAAAGGGTGGTGGGCAATGAAGGAGCCGACTCAGCATCAGCTCATGCCCACTTGGCAGGGTTCAGCCTTGTGTCCCCTCCATGCACATTTAGTGGGCATATGGGGAAGGTCACTGTGGCTTGTTGTCACCTCAGGGCTTTCCTAGTCTCTCTCGGTGAAGAGACCCACAGCTAGCCAAGGGTGATTCCAAGGGAGTGTTGCCATCACAGAAGTGCCATGTCCAGCCATTCTCAGAGCTGAGCTACCAGGATCTGTGAAGCTGTGCCCGTTGGGACAGGAGGAACTTAGCTCTGGGTGCCTGTCCCTGCTTCAGAGAGCTTCACGTGGGGGCTTTTGTATTTTTCAAAATATAAGGACTTAAATATCCCTCCCCAAAGAATTTGAACCTAAACTTTGAGACTTTGCTATCAACTTTGTACTTATAACATTCCATGGGAAATACTAAAATTTGCATGTCATTTACATCACCATGGGTCTAGAACAGGGCATGGCAAACTGTGGTCTGTGGGTCATGTCCAGCCTGCAGCCTAAGGGCTGAGAATGGTTTATACACTTTTTTTTTTTTTTTTTTTGAGGAAGATCGGCCCTGAGCTAACATCTGCCAATCCTCCTCTTTTTGCTGAGGAAGACTGGCCCTGGGCTAACATCCATGCCCATCTTCCTCCACTTTATATGGGATGCCGTCACAGCATGGCTCGACAAGTGGCATGTTGGTGCGCGCCCGGGATCGGAACCGGCGAACCCCGGGCCACCGCAGCGGAGTGCGCACACCCAACCGCTTGCGCCACCAGGCTGGCCCCAAGATTTATACACTTTTAAAGAGTTGTTAAAAAGAAAGAAAAGAATATTCCTTGGAGAGCACAAAGGCTTCTGTATCGTTTCTTATTGCAGATGATCTGTCCCAGGGTTTGCTTCCTGGGTCAGGGGCTGGTGTGCCTGTTCTATGAAGGGCCACTCAGTAAATCTTTGGGACTTTGTACTCTCTGTCGCAGGGAATACCCTTTTTTCTAGGCTTCCCTCCTGGTGGGTGGGGCCCTCACCATCCAGGGCCTCTCTGGTTTGTTTAATGGCTAAACCTCTCTCCCTACATCTTCTGCCCAGGTTGGGGGGTGGGGGGGATCTCCTCTGTGGAGTTATTTGACATAAAACAGGCCTCCAGAGAGCCTGCTCTGCCATTGTTGCAGACCTTCTTATACAAAATTCCCACAACCCACGGGCCCCTGTGACAGCCACCGATTAAATGTCAAAAGTGGGGTGCCAGAACGTGTGTGGTGGTTAATCAGAGGACAGGAACATCTGCCACCTGCCAATCACCAAGAGCCTTAACACAGACATTGAACAGGCAGCAGTAACTGGGCTGGAAGAGTCAGGAAGGACCCAGCAGGCTGGCCTGGGTAGAGTGGGAGGTGAGGCCAGCAGGGAGAAGCCACAGAACGACCCCTCCTGTGAGCCCACTCCCGCGTTATGGGACACTGTGGGTGCCCTGGGCCAAGCAGGGCAGCAGCTGTGACGGCGCCAGAGCTGTCTGCGCCCAGTGTTGAGGTGGGTGGGCAAGGTGACCAACTCCCACTTCCTTCAGTTTCAAAAAATTTCAAACTACACACACTGCATAAAATAACACGCATATTCAAACTCCCATTTTAAAAAGTGTTATTGTTCATATGTAACTTTTATTAGAGATTTTTTCTTGCCTTTATAAATAAAACATTGTAGAAAACCTAATATGTACAAGTGACACTGTCCTCAAAACAACCATTTTTGTATCTTTCCTAAATGATTTTTCTGTATGTAAATAAACGTGTGTATAGGCTATATTTTAGAAATAGAGGATCATAATATATATGGTTCTAATGCTTTTTTATAATACCCAATAGTGTAATCAAATGTCTTTTTGTCATTAAATATCCTTCCACTGTGTCCTTCGTGAAGGGTTTACTTATTCCCCCATGTGGCTGTAGCTTCTCGAAGCAGCACCCTTGGCAAGTGAGTCCTGGACTTCTCTCTTGTGTGTTCACCTCTCTGACCCTTTGATCTGCTTTTAGGGAACAAGCAGGCCTTCCCACTATCACGTGCTTTGGGATGACAATCGTTTCTCTTCCGATGAGCTGCAGATTCTCACCTACCAGCTGTGTCACACCTACGTGCGCTGCACACGCTCCGTGTCCATCCCCGCGCCAGCATACTACGCTCACCTGGTGGCCTTCCGGGCCAGGTACCATTTGGTGGATAAAGAACATGATAGGTGAGTGGCATTCCTTCCCTTGCTAGAGGTCACGGCAGGGGTCATTTCTGAAACAGGCTTCAGCAGCTGCCCTTCCAGAGTGGGAAGTAGCGGGTCACAGTGGCTGGACACAGACTCCCAAGTGCCAGCACCCTCCCTGCCCTTTGTTAGCTGTGTGGCTGCCTCCCCAGATGTCTGGTGTGTGGTGCTGACTTCGTTATAAGTGTACTGCCCCGTGGTGTGTTAAAGGCTATACTCTCTCTCTCCCCATCCCCCGTCCCTGCAGCGCTGAAGGAAGCCATACATCCGGGCAGAGTAATGGACGAGACCATCAAGCATTGGCCAAGGCGGTCCAGGTTCACCAGGACACACTGCGCACCATGTACTTTGCTTGACATGTTTAGTGTTTACGATTGTGTACCGCGTTGGATTCACATGAGACCAGCTACACTCAGACCAACAGATGCCCAGCCCTTCCGTGACAGCCAGCATTGAACATGAGACGTCATTGATTTTAGTAGATTCTCCATTTTCCAGAATGCCTTCCGTCCCAGATTTCAAACTTGGATTTTGAACTGCAGACCTGTATGAGACCCCATTGTCGTAGGAAATATGGTTTGCCAAAATCTATAAGCTGCTTATTAAAATAGAGTCCCGTGTTTCCTAAAAATCTCCTAAAACCAGTCTATGAACTCAGGGCTTTAAAACATTTTTAATTTATTTGGTCATTCAATTACTTGTTTTTAACACACGATACTATATGAAATTGATGGGCTCAAACTAGCTGTGAACGTTCTCTGAGAGTGAAAGCAACACAAAACACAATTGTGGTTTTAAAGCCTTGAACATTCTGATGTTGTCACTAAAGTTTATTTCAAAGTGATGCTAGTGTGCTCCTGACTTGGCTTACACAAGCTCTTCGGGACCCAAGGGCAGGTGGCCATGCCGAGGCGCCCACAGGTGGGTCTGTTCTGCCACTGCCTGCCTTTCACTCAGCTTGAAATAAGGAGCAGTGGCAGAAGATGGCCACGTGTGTTTACAGCATGTATAGGTCCAGAGAGATTGGCAGACAAGTGCCATTTTAATAAAAATTTATTTAAAAAAAGAAAGACAATATGCTGACAGTCTAATCATAAGATTTGTCCTATAGGACTGTGACATTTATTTTCCAAAGTTTCTAAAGAATACGGGTCTGTGGTGATAAATACAGTACAATCCTTTTTCACTGTTATGTCTTTAATGTAAGAGAAAAATATATATATCTGGTTTGCAGTATTAATGTGATTGATAGATGAGATAGATGCTGTTTTTCATTTTATTGACTACGGGGTGCTTCTTGTGATCTGTTTAGCATATCAAGAGTGTTTCGGAGCCTGGACACTGGACCACCTCTTGTGGTTCTCAGTGCTTAAGTACAGGAGTATGCAATTGACTTAATGTGACAGCAACCTGCCCCCCCTCAGTGTAGATTGTGTAGCCTGTACCTTCAGGAGGACCGAGCGCACTCACGGCAGTCACTTGCCGCCCTCCCTGCCTCCTCACCCCTGTGTGTTGCTCAGCCGATTAAGCACAAATGGAATGTATTTATTCTTCCATTCCTGGGAAACAAGTCCATGTCTCAGAGTGTACCTCTCTCTGTGTATGGTTTTGTTAGACAAGTTTCATAGGATCTATGCACTGAAACACACAGAAAGCTGTCGGCGGTGGCTCCCTGTTGGGGGTGAGGCCAGCGTCAGCGACAGAGCCCTGCCCTCAGGATAGCTGATTGTGAAGGCAGCAGAAGAGGCAAACCCTTCTGCTAGGGTTTGCATTCTGGGCCAGACTTGGGTTTGCCAATCTAGAAACCATTGCACTAAGAGTGATACCATGGACAACTTGAAAAGGGTAATAACAGACAGCTCTGTTTGTGCTAAATGGGCTTTTTGTCCTCGTAGGCAGTTTTATTAAGAGTCAAATCCACGTTCAGTGTAGAGATTCAAGGAAGGAGACAAACCTTCCCCTAGTGCTGCTTTGTGCTCTGTAGGTTTCCTCTCCCCAGCCCGGCCTGACATTTACCTCTCGCACTGTGGTGGAGTGAGGGTTCCGATGGGGGTGCCTTGTGCTAGAGTAAGCGCCACCTCTGTATTCTGGTCTGTTGGCTCCGAGGGGCGGGAGGGGCCAGGGAACCACAGGTGGAGCTGTAATGGATAGTTGGCCTGGATTTTGGCAGTGATGACAAAGGGATAACTATTATTTGTGAAGATATCTACTCCGAGTGGTGTGTGCGTGTGTGTGTGTCTGTGTGTGCATGTGGGTGTCTTATTAATGGCATTAGTCTCTTCTTGCTGTATCTTTTTTTTTTTTTTTTTTTTGTCTTTTTAAATGATAAGAAGCCTCTGCTCTAAGAAACGTTGCAATTCCCTGTCATTTTATTGGCAAGTGGCACTTTCTTCTATGTTCAGAAGCAGACTGATACACTCTTGGCTTAAATTACCAGGAGCATTCAAGCTAAGGAGGGAATCTTTTCACTAATACACTTTTAAAATTGAAATTTAGGTTAGTTTTCAGCCATTTTTAGGATCATCTAGAACCGTGTGTCTCAAAGGTGTGTTTCTAACCGCCTGCAACAGGATCTCGGTGGTCGGGGCAGTGGTGGTGCTTGGTAAGAATGCAGACTCCAGGGCTGGGGGTGGCATCTGCATTTTACACCATCAGCTGGGGTTCCAGGGCTGCCTGAAGTCTGAGAACTCCTGATCTAGAGCTTTCTGGAGAGTGCACTCCTCGAGCACTGAGGGCCCAGCAGGGAGGAGCTCCTTGGGATACACGGAGATGTTTTCTAAGTTAATACCTGGGGAAGATTGCAGGCTGGCAGAAAATTGGACCTAAAATTTTTTTTATCATTTTGAAGGAAAAGTTTTCTTGTTAGTGGGCCAAAGTACTTTGAGAAGGATACTTTTTATAGCCCTATGCTTGTTTTATAAAACTTTTAATATTAAAAGCATTAATAGACCAAATGTCTCCAGCTGGGTTAGCTACATACCTTGGTACATGTCTGATGATTCAGAATTTAAATGGCTGTAGTTACAATTTCTCAGGTAAATAATTGCTTTCCCAAATTTCTACCAAGCCCCCCATTATTAGGATAAATTTTGAGACAGTGTAAAACCTCAAAGTGCAGTAGAATAAGTCCAAGCCGTGTTCATATGGAAGCCACAAGGGCCTCTCGCCCGTCTTCTGATTGTGCTTGCGCCCACACAGGGCCGCTTCAAGCCTGCGTGCGGCCCCAAGGAAGGGCTCCCAGGGGAGCTCCATCCTCCCCCTGCAGTGACTGGCCGCCCGAGGCTCAGGGCCCGGGCAGATTTGAGAGGTGTCCACTCGCCAGCTTTGCCCCACCCCGCTGTTAAGTAAGGTGTGCCTTGCTTTAAGCAAACTGAATGTGAAAATTATGATGTAGGAATCTGGATTCATTTAAAAGAAAAACTGAGATTTATCTCATCTCTTTAAAAGAGGTCTCCCAATTAGGTTCTTGTACTGGTACTCTTCCTAGTATATTTTAAAATATTCACTTTAAGAAAAATTAATGTATTCCCATCCCTTCACCGCTATCTGTTACCTTAGAAAGTTCTCGCCCTAATAACTAAATGCTGATAGAAACCCAGGGGAGCCATTTAAAGCCGCCGTTTTGTAGACGAGCCCTTTGGTAATGCTAAGATTCCGTCCTGCTGTTTGTGTCTCATAAGCTCAGATTTTCCTAGTTCAGATAAACATTGTAAAACTGGGCATCCCTACTTTTAGAAAGGGATTGTTTTATTTTAGTTTTGGTTTTCTGTTTTGAGAAGTCTCCACGTGTACACTTGATACTACATTTTAGGATCTGCCTTTTCAAGATTATGTTGCCCTTTGGTAGTGTTCTCACACTCCCTCGAATGGATGTTTGCACTCTAGAACCACAGACATCCCTTGCCACTTCATTGGCCTGCGCCTTGAGGGAACTGTTGGAAACAGTGGTTTCCATGCCTTTGAAGGTTGGCTGTAATCACTGCAATTCCTGATATTTACCCCTGGTTACTGCGTGTTCATGGAAAAGACGATTTCAGTTCAGTTCCTACAGCAGGGCTGGGGGGGGAGGTTATTGATGTTATATTGTGTGTTATTTTTATTGTTGTTAAATGCAAATGTTGCTATTTATTTTTTCCTTTCTGCTCTGGTTTGATTTGGCTGATGTGGATATTCCAGTGCATGTGGTACCTGATGGATATGATAGAAATTATTTTCCCCAACTTTTATAAATTACCTAATGTTTACCTTCAAGTTTGCTGGATGATTTATTTTTGAAAGCCACAAATGTAATTTTTCTGGATGAATTGTTTTTCTTATATATGCAGCAATGTAATTTTACATTGATCTGCGGGGTGATTTAAATTTTATTTTTACAAGGCAGTTTTCAGTCAAATTATATATTTGATACAATATGTTAAGGGTAGACCAGCCAAGCGTCATGCAGTTGGGACACCAGACTGTCTCTAGGAGGCCATTGGGGGCTGGGGCGGCTTCTCTTGGTTGCTCGTTGTCATGGAAGCACTTGGCTTGTTTCATTGAGTCATCAGGATCTGGATGTAGTCCTTCAATGGGACTTTGATCTGTTGAACAGTTAAAAGAATTTTTTTCTTGGGCATTTTCCTACACCTAAGGCAGTTCCATTAGGAGGAGCTTTAGAAATTGACGTAATCCAGACAGCGGACAATCCCAGTGGCCCAGACAAGCCATAGAAATTTCTCTCTGACCTCTCTTTGACTCATCTCTCACGCTCACAAGAAAAGGAATGTACAATAAATAGAAAACTCCTCAGTGTTCACTTTCAGAATGCAAATATTTTATTTATATCTTAAGCCCTTCCCCAGAGTAACCGAGAATATTTTCTCTAGCTGCCATGCCAGCAGTTTCGGCTGCTGTGACATTTTTCAGTGTAGACTTAGTGCACGTGTGACTTTGTAATGGGGCTATCCGTGTTACAGACATGCTGACCCTTTTTTGTAAGGAAAACTTGCAACTCAAAATAATTGCACTGATTTTTTGACAACTTCCTTTGTATTATGTCCAACTTTGCATCTGCTGTACTTGTTTGAGATGATTGTAAATAGGTCTAGGATAGCAGAAGTGATATGAACACAACATTGCTCTGTTTTAGTGAGACTGCCACGTTCTTCAGTATTATGTGTCAGAGTCGTGTGGACAGAATTCTGTTCTTCTCTTTAGCCTTGTGTCTGTTGACCATTCATGAAGGACAAATTAGCCTCGTTCTCTTGTTTTTCTGAAAAAAAGTTTGCAACCTATTGAAAGGAGAATATGCTCTCTCCTTGAGGTCTGAGGATTTACTTTTAAGAGGATTAATTGTAAATCCTTTGCACACTTTCTTGGTCTGTTTAATTCCCTGTTATTTGCCATGACTCCCTAAAGCATGTTCTTCGAGTCCACCCGGCATTCAGCAGTTCGGTAGGAAGCATCTGTCTGGCCAGTGTTAACAGAGAGTGAGGGCCGCCCTTGCTTGTCTTTGGTCAGCCATCATTTTAAAGCCACGAGGTCACTGTTGTGTCAAAACCATCATTTGTGGCTTAACCCATAGATGCTAGAGAGACCTGAAGTCCAATGCTGTTCTTCTATGCCTCGTGATCTTGCTAGATTAGAAGTATGTGCTCCAGCCCAAAGTGTTGTAATTCTGTTTGTAGTCAGGCTACCCAGTGTCAGACACACAAAGGAGTTCTTAAACCCAAACCAGTCATCTGAGTGTGTGTTAGTTAACGTCACGTCGATGCCATCATGGTGCCCTTGCTTAATGCTTTTTTGGATGTGTTTTGCCATTTTATTGTCTAAAGTGAATGTATTGGCTTAGCCAAATCACTACAGAAGGTGGTTTCTAAATACCTTTTAGATGGAAAAAATAAATGCAGATAAAGGCTACCTCTGAATTCTCAGTAGATTCATATTTGCTCTTAAGCGTAGCTATCCACACTGAAATAGCCAAAATGTTGCCTGAATAAACTGAATTGTGAACATCTCTCTGTTCAGTTCTGGCTTGAAAATTTGTGTGCCATACTGTGACCCGTGGGCAGTCCCCTCCTCCCCCTCTGAGCTGCCAGGGGTGGACCAGGGACTCCTCAGGGCTGCCCAGCTCCGAGGTTCTAGGACTCTAAGTGGCCAGCGTGGATGAAATGGAAAGGCTTTTCTGCACTGTCCTCACAGGCTGGCAGGAGCATCTCCGTGCAGGGCCCTGTGTGGCGAAACCTTGAGATGGCCTGCTGTCCTGGCTTTTCACTTTCCTGTTCCATATAAGAAAGCACTTTTTTTTTTTTTTTTTTTTTTTGAGGGAGATCAGCCCTGAGCTAACATCCGTGCTAATCCTCCTCTTTTTCTTTTTAAACACTCTTTAAAATCACGAAGGTGCTTGACCGCCGATCTCATGCGGGTAGCACATTTAAAGTAGCTGCATGGTTTGGAAAACACAGACAGAATTGACCTTGACTTTGGAACCGTGAGTTACTATCACTCTCTACTTAAAAATGATCTAAAGTTTGAAAGCAAAGTGTTCTGTTCAAATCCAAGGCCCTTTGTTTGAAAGGAACACAGGGTCCACAGCTGGCGCCTTGAAGTAGGAGTGCCTGCTGCCGGCGCCCTGGATTCTCGGATGCCAAGTTGCAGGAAGTCTGCCCCGGGAGAGTCTGCTATGATTCTGAATACCCCTCCTTGTGATTAACCACTTTGCTGTCAGAAATGTCCTTTGCCCACACACTACTGTGGGTCATTCAGTGTCACCCTCTGCCTCCTTCGCATCTTTTCTTTAGGTTCCTTATGTTCTTTCATCTTCAAGTTTAGCATTTGCTCCAAAACACCTCCACTGGTTTGCTCTTAAATTCTTGAGGGACAGGCGGAAAGTTTTGCAGTTACAGACGTCTGGGTATGTGGAGGTGGCTCTGCTCTCCTACTGGATGCTCATCAGACATTGACTTTGGCCCAGTGAGGTCTCAAATAACATCATCATGTGGAAATAATTGCCTTTAACACTGTTGTTTTGGGTTTTGATGCTTTTCATGCTACATGCTGTGCTTTAATTCTGAATGAGCTAAGTGTCCTTTGCGGTCTTTCTAAGAATATTTTGTCATTCTGCAATCACACTGCTCTGTAGATGCAGACCACTCTAAGAATCGTGGACATTTAGGGTGGGTGCCCACAAAGTCTGCTGACCTGCTGCCGGGGCTCCTTGGGACCTCTGGGTTGGCCTTGTTTTCAGTCAGAATCCCATACAGGGTGTTTCAGGGGACACTGCACAGTGGCCCACTCCTCGAGTTAGTAATGTGAACTGTTGAACTCAGATCTGCCCATCAGCGTTTTGTACGCGTCTCCAGAATGCTGGGGTGGGCCTCTCCCACCGTCTTTGCATTCATGAAAGATTATTAAAAAATGAGAGAACTGAAGATTACTGGTGCTTTTGTTAACACTTTTCTATCTTATTGGTTGATGAGAAAAATTTAGATGTGTTAGATCTTTAAATGCCCTTGGTGGTATGACTGAAGGGTTGAGTCCTCACCTCACTCCCATCCCCTTTTGGGGAGTTGGGGGAGGCTGGATTATCTCCTATTTACAACCTCCTTGGATTTAAGTAGTTCAG